TTTACGCAAGGATTAAATTAAAGTTCGTTACCTTTCTAAATATGCAAAAGTTCAACTACGGTAACTAATAAAACTATAACGTATGCCTACGTGGAGTGCCAAACCCAATCTATCGGCTTTGCCCCTTATCTTATCTTCATCTGTAAAAATTCTACGTAAACGAAACGCCGCTTGTTATATAGTAGAATGAGTATGAGGGATTACGTTAAGCATATAAGTCTTTGATCAGCAACACTTTCCGTATCTACTTTGTCATATCTTTCTATTCGTTTGTCTGTAGATCTAACGCAGTTATATATTATGCGGTTGATGTGGGAAACAAGACTCACGTCAATTTATCATCGATTTCATTCACTTCACCTCAATGATTTTTAGCTCTATGCTATGACAATTTGTTCTTTTTTTTGTTTGTTCGCACATGAGGACGGAATTGTTTTTCTTAATAATGCTAATAAGACACTTTGGACACATTTTTTCAAAATGAATGAATGCATGGTTTTCTTTTGAACTTTTGTTTCACTTACTTTTTTAAAAAGTGGAATGGAATTAAGAATGAAAACTATCTAAAAATTGATATATAAAAAACTTATATACAGTATAAGTAACTCTGGGGAAGTAATTATGTAAACGATTTCATCCGCCTTTATACAAATTCCAATCAAATATAATATTGGCAGCATCCGAGAGACGCCAGGAATTTTGGCCATCATCAAAATACATCGGGCAATCGTCACGTTCACGTTCATATTCAATGGCAACAGCAGCGCCTTCTGTATGATTCCAAGATGTAACATCTTGATTTAGTTTACAAAATGCTCCAACAGCTTGAAAAATTTGAAATTATATTCCAAAAAATAATTATTTAATTTATATTTAATTAAACTGACCTTGCGACATAAGCACTCGGTTTAAATCAGCTCGCTGGTAGACCCAACAACGATATTTTGAAAGTGGATCCAAATCATCATAAGGTATTAAATATGATTTGCGATTTTCTTTCCAAAAACCAATACATTTCATGCGATAATCGGGGTCGCCTTTAAAATAAAAATGAAGGTCATCATGAAAGTTTCATTTGAATCAATTTCTGTTTTAATTTCATGCACTCACTGTAAACGTCGTCTGGACGTCCTAAGTGATCAACGGACAGACAATAGTTTTCATTTACGGCCAGACATGCAAAAACACTGTTGTAGAACACGGCCTACCATTAGATACACTACACCACTTTGCTTAACACAGTTATTGATATAAAGACATCGCAAAATAAGGTGTTCTATGGGACGTGGTCGAAAAACTAGAGTTCGTCCTTGGACCAAAACGTGGCGAAATAGCAAATTTCATCAAAATATCTCAAAAATTGTGACCTTTAAGTTGAATACTATAAAACAAGGACAGACCGGCAGATAAACAATCTTACATCGATTCGGAATCGCTTTCAGAATAGTTTTCTGAATCGATCGACATAATAAAAGGTGAATCTATCTCGAACGCTCTTACGTGTTGCATACGATTGTTGATAACTTACGAAGAGCCTTTAACTCGCGTTGAGTGCTACAACTTTTTATCACCCGTCGCTGAATATTCTTTATCACCTAAGAAGAATACTTGTAATTAAAAATCTTTTTTCGAATTTAATTCGCGATTCAGTGTTCTCTCACCCAACATTTCTTCTGAGCTATTAACGCTCTCTTCTATAATCAAAACATCTACATCTATTTGTGCGATATCGTTTGGTCACTCAAATTGTAAATGAATATTGTACGATCGGCCACTCCCGCTACCATCAACGAATTTCGAGGATTTACAGTCATTTTCGTGACCGCTGCAATATAAGCCTTAATAGCTCGCATTAGATGTATAGTGGGCGCCGACTGGGCTTTCAAGTCGACATATATTTGACGTATAACACCATCTTCAAAATAAAACCATATGAGATCAATGCCCGCTTTATCAAACTCGTTTTGCAGTAGCAACATTTTAGCTTCAAAATCATACACGGAAAATGTACAGTAACCTGAATTCCGTTATTCACCTTTTAATTTAAAGAAGAAAGAGTGTCTTTAATAGTTTATTTATCAAATAATAAAAGTAAAACTTGCAAGTGTTCGCTATTTGACGGTTACTATTATGTTTGCTGCTTTCTCACACAGTTTATTTATTTTCAAACTTTCTTATAATAAAAACCATTAGAATTACGTTGATTTTTCTAAAGAGCTAGTAAAAATGCATTGTACGTACCATTTTTATACAAATACATGCAAAATTATTGAAAAATGTAAAGCAAAAAGTGAACATAAATTATTACTTTTAATTTATTCTTCTATTAGAAAGGTTTCTCTGAAATTGTGGAAGCCACAAAATGTATTAACTAGTATCCTCAAGGGGATTCACAGGATCTTTATTGTGCTTATCCCAATTTTGGTAGAATTATAGATGAGCAGTGGTGCTCTGTCAAAATGAACAAATTATCAATATGTCTATGATTACTCTTTATTCACACAGTCCCATCGAATACTTGCTTTAATATCACATGTTTTTAAATGGCAAAACATTCGTGGCAACATACAACGACGTCAACCGACCTAATGCACCTAAACACCCCCACGCCATGGACGACTTTAGAATTGATGAAAACAACATACATTCTCATAGAATTTCTAAATACCCGTCTAGATGAATACAGAAATATTCACAACCTAGTTACACATATATATTATGACTGATATATTGATAGGAATTTTTAAGACGCCTAAGTTTATTTGATAATTCCTTTGTATGAGAAATTTCAAACTCCACACCTTTCCCAAAGCGATAATTTGATTTTTTTCTCTTTTTACAAGTCCAAAATCCCAGTTGTCAATTTCAGTGTAGTGCATTGAATATAGGGAGGCCCTTCCCGTTACTCCAGAAAAATTGTTGCGCGCTTCGTTATAAAATATCTAAAACCGAACTCTCGACCTGGCGAATAGCTTTTACTATAAAAAGTATCGTTCAAGATCGGACAAGTTGTAAATGTAAAAAAAAGAACTGACAAAGGATCCATCTAAAGCTCCATTATAATGAATCTATAGCTTTCTCTTATAGTATATGAAAAATAAATGGAATGAGTTTAAGCCACATAGGGTAATTGCTACGAACTGCAAGAGTTTAGTAACTAAAGTATCGATAAAACTTTTGCTGGGTAATTAAATTTTTTAATTGTTATTTAAAACTTGATTATGAACATAAAGAGAAAAAAATAGTTAATCTTCATTAACAAACGTAGGATTACAATTACTCCGATCGAGCGTTTGTAAGAGGACATTAAACAAAAATCTAACCGGCATAAAAATGGAAACATCATCGCCTTAATATTAGAGAGATAAGTCATTCTTTTCTAATTGTTTTTAAAGATTAGTTTGCTTTGAAATGTCTAGAATTCAGTGAATAACGATGATTAATGTGTTTTCTTAAGTGTATGACGTACATAATAAATATTCGGTAGTTATGTTTGTTTTTTTTTTATATTTTTTATTGTATATTTAAAAGCCAACACAATTTATTTCTTTTTTATTTAATTTTGCTAAGATTTTATTTAAAAATTATTTTCCATTTACTGTGTTTCCCTTTATGTACACGCCTTAAGTTTAAGTTATTAAAGAGAAATGAAAATGATTTATGTTATTTTTTTAAATATTATCTTACCAACTGCAATATAAAAAAATTATAAATTTGTGAAATGATTTCAATATCCTTTTTGCCCTCTACTTAAAATTTCTGTGAAAATACAAATAAGTGCATTAAGCTTTTAGCAAAAAAAAAAACTCAATAAAGAAAAAAAAAAACGAAGCAGTCAGTGATTGTAAAAGTTTATCTCAAGATCTTAAAAAAAAAAAAAAAAATTTAAAAATAATTAGTTGTTGTTAATTTAAAACATTTAAAACTGTCAATATATTAGAAAGAAATGTACACATATACACAAACACACATACACACATTGTCAACGTTGTTTTGTATACGAATTTTATATAGATTTATTATTATGCATGTGCTTACAAAAAAAAAAAAAAATAAATAAAAAAATAAATAAAAATTAAGTTGACACTAAGTTAAAAATTTTGATTTTATATTTGATCTCTCTTGTGCATAAAATGTGTTTATTTTTTATTTCGATACAATTCATTTTCGTAAAAAAAAAAAAATTTATGAATAAATATTTGTTAAAAAAAAAAATTACATCATTAGCAAAGTTTCATCTTAAGCTTTAAGCTGACAGAAGTTTTCTTTTATTTTTATAATAAAATTTATCGAAAGGTGGGAGCATTTGCCAGCTGTCAAAACGTTTGCAATAGTTAGAAGTAATCTTCGCCGTATTAAGTATATACATTTTTGATCAGCAAAAAATTTTTAATCGGTTTAATCATGTCTGTCTGTTTGTCCGTGTGATGTCTGTACGAAACATTCTCTTGGTCGCAAAAACAGCAAAGTAACGTTTAAAAGTTCGCAAAATATTTGGAAGGTCATACATGCCATGTTAATATTGAGAATAGGTTTAATCGGTTGAAGGACCTACCTGCAGTGTAAAATAAACTGAAGATTTATCTATTTTCAAACTCACGAAAATTAGTATTTTTACTTATTACCCAGAAACTGCCACAGATACAGCGATCAAATCTTCCAGGCATATTCTATCGACGATCTTAAAGTATCTTTATTAAAATAGAAAAAGTCGGCCAAGTGCGGAGATTTTTTTTCTTTTTTTGAGGTAAAGATGGTGAGTGCAGATGATTCGAGCATTATTGTAATTGAAGGGGCAAAACTAAATTGTAAGCAGTCTTTAAGCACAGAAGTTTTAGTTGATGATGATTTGTATTATAAAGAGAACAATTTTTTCGATGGTTGCGTTACATGTCAAAAGTTGAAATTCAAAAAACACTTCCAGTTTTTCCCAAACATTGCCTAAAATTTCTTTACTGTGTCGAAGATATCAACGCGCCTTTCTGTTTTATAACATCGCCCAGGAAAGCTGAGATCTGAATACCGGAATAGCTGTCCGCTGCACTTTTAAACCCTTTATTATTTCGGTATTTTGAAGCACAATATCAAAAAAGAATGTCCTTTGCACGGTACTTGATGCCGAAAATGTTTTCATGCTGTGGTTTGTTCTCACGGTTCGATAGGACAGTAATGAATCCAAATCAAATCCATGGTAGTAGACTGTGACTGTTTTATTAGCATGAAAATTGAGCAAATGTCATTGCGAAAATTTATGTTACATGGACTTGACGATTATAAATATCTTCGTTAAGATTCTAAGCATTGGTTTAATTAAGGTGCCTACGAGCTCATAAAATTAACAGCATACCAAGGGTAATTGAAAGAGATAAACATTTTCGCAGCAATGGCAGTAGCGCTAATCAGAAACTTCACTTACGTCCTATCCTCATTAATGCATAGCAGTTTAAAATGGGGCCGTTCTAGGGAACTATCTGAAAACCGAATTGCGTCCTCATGAAGAGGATTTATTTAATTCATTATTTTCTCAATTCAGGACTTGACTTGGATATGAAGTAGAACTGACTTAAGTAAAATATATTCTCAAAAATTAATGTAGAAAGTCACTTAAGATTACTATTAAGTATAAGTTTTTGGCAGCAAGAGAGCGAAGGAAAAGACATGAGAATTGCATATTCTCGTACCATCTAGAAATGAATATCGGCAATAACCATCCCCATTTGTTCGTCTGTCCGTCTGCTCAACTGTGCAATATCTGTAGTAAATGTTCTCCCGTTAACAAAAGTGAAGGTATCGCCTACAAATTTGCAAAAAACTTTACAAATGGCGCAAGCAGGTCAGAACACGCCTAGAATGCCCCAACGCCGATGAA